TGGTATTGTTTCATTTTTTGTTGCTGTATATTATCCCACATTGTATTGTGTTTTCAAACTATTATTATGTTGGTACAATGCCATGCACAAATTTGCCACAGTATTGAACAACACTTGTTGTCAAACTGAATGGAAACATTTGATTCAGAAGCCATGCTTCAGCCACACTATCTTGAAAATTTATTCTTGAATATAGGTTTAGCATGGCAAAAGCAAGACAACTTAGCTAGTCCTTACATTTAGCAAACGCCTGCTCCTTTTGCACTTTTCTTTATGCTCTTCATTTTTCCCTTTTCTTATCCTCTGCTCTCTTTCTTTAGTTGTTTTGAAGTACCGATAAAACTGAGCTGTTGAGTTAAAAACAATAATTATTATCGCTGCATGATATCCTAAAATTACAATACAATGACAAGTCTATGTGTATATGTAACATCAGCTTATGGATATATATTAATTAAAAGAATTAATGCTGGTAATATTGTGTTTTCCCTCTCAGTTGTTAAGTTTTCTGTCCAACATATTTCAGAAAATTTGTTTGATTTTGCACAAGGTAAATGCTTCTTGTTCTAACTTGCACACAACATTAAAACTTGATTCCTGTAATGTAATACCTTCCATTTGTAAGTCAGTCCATAGGCAGCTTTCTCCTCCATGCTCTTTTTTCAGTACTTCTTTCACTTTTGTAAAAAATAGTCTGGTTTCTCTCTGACTGTGGACTGTAATAAAATGAGAATATTATTTTTGTTTTAAACAATAGCCAGAGGCAGTTATAATAATATTATTATTATTCGGCCAAAAAAGGAAATAATAATTCAAGTAAAGCAGTTATACAAGAGGGACAATTTTCTAATCATTGCTGGTACAGTGCAGAAGCTACATGCTTTTTACACCTTCAAACTGACATTAGGATTTCTGGTTCTTGGAGGGAAAAGATTTCTCAAAACAAAAATTTGCATGTATTAATCTATCAGCAACATAATAGTTGAAATAACAGATTCTAAAAGTTTACCACCTCCTACTCCCAATTTGAATATTTTACACTGGCCCCAGACTCTAAACACTGGCCTCAAAACAGATAACTAACAGTCCCTTAGAAGAAGCTGGTCAGAGAGAGATTTAGTTCTTGGTGGTAAAGTTTTAATTCTAATATCTTGCATGCCATCTCTCTTAGTGCCTTGCTATTTAAACACATCATCTTATGTATGGTAAAAAAATAACATACTCCTCATCAATGATGAAACCTTGTGTCACTTTTTTTTCTACCATCTTTTTGTAGATGAACCGAAACCGTTTCTGGAAGATAATATGGAAGAACATCATATGTCAAAAGTCAATTCAAACCACAAACTTGTTTATTTCTTTAATCAGGGTCAGCAGGGTTTTTGGGTAAACAGTACACAGTGGAATTTTAAACTGGGTAAACAGTATTTTTGCTAAATGCTTGCAAAATAGGCACAAGAATTCAGCACAAGGATGTTCCAACTTTGTGATAAGCACTAAAACCAACATCTACACATATTGTGCTTTAAGTTAACACAGAACACGCGTGATGGCGGAATGGCGGTGTCTTTGAAAACACGTTTTATGCTTCTGATACACCGCAACTGAAACTCTGAAACACAACTTAACGGTACTAAAGTTGAAAAAATTTATATCCTTAAAGTAATTAAAGAATATTTACCCTTAAGTCATTTGGAATCACAACATTTGATTCTCTGCGAGAGCTTTTAGAACGTTTGTTGCCTTTCTTCTTTGCCTGCCCTTCCAGACTCGCAAGTTGGTTCTTCAGCTTTGCATTTTCTTGCTGAAGGACTGCATTCGTATCTTCTAGTTTCTTTTGCCCTTCGAGAATCGAATCAATCCTTCTACTCATTCTTTCCATAAGAACAAGCTGTCTCTCTTGAACTGGATCGTTTGCAGCCATCATCCTATCGAGGAAGAATCCAAACACGTGCCCGCAACGAAACGAAACTCGACCGAGTGAACGAACGACAGTGAAAGATCAAATATCCCGCGATTATAGTTTTGGACATTTGATTGGCGTTCATACGGTATTTGTCATGCGCATAAGGATCTCGGCCTCACTCTGGGGACGAGACATACCGCGTCCTCGATACAAACGCGCGCTTTTCAACGTTCAGTTAGAGATGTCTGGTGACGTTTGCAGTTCAGAGCTGTTCACTTCATGCTCAGAAACCTCGGTTTCCTTGTTCAGCAAAACCAATGCTGGGAAGTTTTAATACCCTTTGTGTGTGGGACGCAAATAACTTTGAACCTAGAGCATCAAGCTACTTTTTGCCTGTTTATAGGATACACAGTCTTTTTGCTGGAGCTTATTTAACTCTTGACAATGTAAAACTCATGGCAGTTTGCCCTATTCCACGCCGTGCCATTATTTTACCGGCCAGTTATTAACATCAATCTACATTCACATGTCGTTGTTGTTTTTAATATATTTAACAATAAATATTATTCCCCTTAGTGGTGGTGGATATTTAATGAGCTGTGAAGTATATACCAAACCAGTGAGATGAAAGAATTATAAATTTATATCTCAGAACACTGCAAAAAAAAGTTTTTCACACTTCAGCTTAAGCTGGGAAGTGGATAGCACATGCATGTACTATCCTAAGTTTGAGTAGCCAATCAGAGCATGCAAAAAACACTGTCCACTGGTTTGGTATAGACTAAAATTATATGGTTTTGAAGAAATGTACCCTATTTGCTCAGGTTAGTCAAATTCCCTGTGCAACCACCTTCCTTTGGTGAAACAGTTTCCAACACAAGAAATCAAGTCTCTTGTTCACAATCAACAAACACAGTTTCATTACCCAAAGAATTGAAAAAGCAATAAAATCAGTAGCGTGAAATATTGTGGCTTTACTAAATACATAATATTAATATTAATCTATGATTAATTCATTGAAGGTTGCTGGAGGCTGCTCTCGTATGGTTTCTGGTTCTGGTGAGAGATTATGTCAATAAAGTAGACTTGGTGTACACCAAAAGATTTGATGTGTTTTTAAGGTCCTTAAACACGGCATAAATATTATGATAAATTTAATGTTGTATTTAAGGCTCCTTTAACTAGACCTTAAATCTCCCCAATAGGTTTAACGTTAGATTTAAGGTGGTTTAAAGTAACCCTAAATCCTTCAAAGGATTTAAGTATGGTTAAAATGACTTAAACATAGCTTAAATCTCAATGTCGATTTAATTTGCATTTAAGAATGCTTAAACCTCGCCTAAACAAAGGTACATTTTTAAATCATGTTTAAGTTTAGTAAACATGGCTTAAATTTGTCTTTGGGTTTAATAGTTGTTTAATTTTACTTAAATGACACTAAAATTTGGCATTTTACCCAGTATACCCTGCAGACAGTTTTGCTTCGGTTGATTGGATTGCATATCAAGGTGCTCCCACAGGAGGAATTTCTGGTGAAGAACTGTTTCCCACTCGGTGAACTGGGGCTATTTGTCAAACAGTTGCTATTCCCAGCGTAAGCATCTTATCAAACTTTTTTACTCTGGTTGCTTTTTCTACTCCATTGATCTAAGGATTAGCTTTGGACGCCAAAGAAGCCCCACATTGCCTTATCATTAATTAAATTAATTAATTAAATTGTTTTTTTAAGAAAATAGATATGAGAAGTGGAAACTTCATTTTGTAAGAATCTGTAGTATCCATTTGCATTAGTGTAAGGCTAATCCACGAGAGAATGAAAGATAAAAATAAAAATATGAAAAGGAGAGGGAGGGGGTGGTTAATTGAAAATCTCACACCTATGTACTAGTGGCCCCCAGATTTGACATCCTATTAATGCTGCTCTTCTCACTGCTGCTTTTTACTTCTGCTTACACATTTTACATTATAACCGTGAGAAACAGTTAGTTTTGTTTTCCCGAGGGACCATACATTGAGTGCTTTGTTATATATTTAGACTTTCCCTTAAACAATCAGGTGGCAAAAACAAACGTTGTGTTTTATTCGCCGCGCGGGCAACAACTGCGCAATCGTATTCCGGTCAGGATACATTTGAATTTGATCAGGGGCAAGTCACCAAGAATCAACCAATCACAGCGCTCGTTTTGTTGAGTGAAAGTCTAGGTATATAACAATATTAGTCGTTCTGGTTCCCAAGGAAGTCACAGAAAGAGTGTATTGGTCACTACCTCAGTCAACGTGTGTTTAATCTAGTTTCGCAATTTGCATTTCAGGGAACATATTCCAATCCACCAACGGTAGGACGCATCAGCGACCTCCTTCAAAATCTGCCTGGGGGAGATTAAAAACTTCGCTGGTGTTCATGACGATATTTCAGTCGTAAGTTTTACCAAGTCTGGCGACACGATCGTCTTAACTAACAAGTGAACCCAATTCATTATATGTACATCTCATACATATATATATATATATATATAACTATATATAACTACAGTTCCAAATACATTGGTAATTGGTATTGGCATTTTTGTTCATCATCATCCATTTTTCTGATGTTTTCATCGTAGGACTGGTTAACATTTGATGGCCCGCCGGAAACTCTGATTACAGAGCATAATGATAAATATTTCCCAAATAACGGCCCACCTCCAAGGAGTCATAACTTTGCCTTCTGTCAGGTTAGCCCTGGCAACTGTCACCACGTATCTTTGGCTGGTCGCTTAAGAAGTAAAGATAAGCGCAATTAAAAAGTAATTTAGATTTTTCTCTCCTGTCTATGAAAGAAAATTCGCTTGTGCCTTTTCAGGACATGGAATTTACTCAGAACTACAGCAAACTGCCGATAGTTCTGCTTGCTGCAAAGCATTCTACCAGTGGACAAGACTCTGCCGCTGCAGAATGCAATGGAATCGAAAGTTGGGTAGAGGTAGGGCTTTAGCCATTTCATAAAGAGAATAGAATTTCTACAACAGATTTCTCTATTACCTTACGTTTATTATCATTATTTTTATTTTATTTTTTTTCTTTGCAGTTTATTACCAACACAAGTTTTAGAATGTGTGTCAAGGAACCTTTCATTCAACGCTTTGATCCTCTTACCGTATCGTAAGCAGTGTTGCCAGGTAATGGAGTTTTGACAAATTTTGTAAAATAATAAAAATAAATTTGCTCTCATGAACACCCTCACCTTTCTGCTGTTAAATTGATTTGGACTTCAGTTAGCGGATGTTTAACTTCGAGTAATTTAGTGTTAAAAACTGAGTTCAAGACGTAAATTGGCCACCGTGAAGGACGAAAAAAAGCTGACGTTTGGAGGGTTAGCCCTGCGTCAGAGCGATCGAAATCACTCGCTCTGACGAAGGGCTACCGCTCAAAACGTCAGCTTTTTTTACCCTTAACGATGGTCAATTCACGTTTTCAACTCAGTAGTTAACATTAAGTTACCTGCTCTAATCTCCCACCGACGCAGCGCCTCAGTTTCTTTAGAAACTTACCCCCTTTATTCTACGAGGTTGTCCTTTATTTTGTACTTTTATATTATATTTCTTCTTTGAAAAGCGATAAAAATGATTCGATCCCTTGTTAAGCTTGTGTAACTTTCACAGATAAGCTCAAGCCTGAAAGCTGACCTCGACCTAGTTGCCTTTTCTGGTTTTCATTTAAATTTATCAGGGAGCAGGGATGTTTAGTTCAGGCGATGATATAGCGAGCACGTAGATAACAAACCTGCAACTGATTTCCACCGCGTCACCAACGAACGGATTGTTCCTATGTAAGCAATTTAAAGGTATATCCATCTCGTAACTAGGACTTTTTCCTGTTTAAATGGTTTAATTCATCTAAAAAAAAATGGCTGTTGTGCCTCCGCTAACGCGATTTTCGCTTAGGAGCTCAGCATCTAATTTCAAGTCGGTGGCTTGTAAAAGTCTTTCGACGATAGCTACACTCCTTGAAACATGAAGATGTAATTCATTTTATTGGCAGAGTCTTTTAAACCAAATGTTTAATGCGTGTGGATATATGAAAGAAAAACAGAGGCAGCCTTTAAGTAAATCAGCACAGTCATAGTATTCATCTAGTTTTATTCACTTCATTTTAGAAGACATATGTCTGGACGATTTGACGTATTACAATGGCTATTGCTATCGAAAAGTCTTGTCTTGTGACTCGTGGGAAAGTAGTCAGGAGACATTTGCTTCCCTGGACGCAAATTTTCCCAGCATACACAGCCAAGAAGAAAACGTATTTGTTCAAAGTCTACACGGTTGTACACAATCGTGGCTGGGTCTGTCTGATAATTCCACCGAAGGTTCGTTCGTTTGGAGCGATGGGACCCCTTTAGACTTCCACTACTGGGCAGAAGGACAATCAAACAATTTGCACAACCAAGATTGTGTTCACACTCTTGGTTTCCTTAATGAGTTTACTTGGAATGACGTAAATTGTGCCGACTGCCACGGATTCACTTGTAAGAAAGGTTGGTGTTAACTGGACCAAAAGCCCCTTGCTATATCCCGGTGGGTGCTTGAGACTTAGCCCTCAATCCCTCGTAAACAAGAAAACCGGTATAAACGGGGTTACAAAGAGATCTAATGTTACCTTTTTTTTGCTCGAAGGAAAGTAATATCGTGCAAATACGGTATATTTTTTAATAGATTGATCAGAATTACTTTTCGTTCAAAATATGTAAAACATATATACTTATTGAAAATCATATATGTGAACTGCGGCTGAAGAAGCGAATATGGAGGCGACCCTCGCAGTTATGAACAGAACTTAAGTAGTAATAAAAATAAGGCCTGAAAAAAAATTCAGGCCTGTGCGAGCTGTAGAGCGCTGCACCGGTATCGGAGAGGTCATGGGTTCAAATCCCGTACAGGCCTGAGTTTTTCTTTTCAGATCTTATTATCACAACTGCTACTACTGCTACTTAAGTAGAGTTCATAAATGTGAGGATCGCTTTCATATTCATATCTAGTTATTGTGCATAGATGCATTGCTTTTGATTAGTATCTTGCCTCCTCGTAAACATGAGGTTACTTAAACTGGAGTTACCATTATTATGATCATTGTTATTATTATTATCTCTTTTCATTCCAGATTACAATGAGTGCCAATATTTCGCTGACTCCTGTCCAGCAGGTGCGACTTGCGTGAACAGCTATGGTTCCTTTACTTGTGTATGCCCCACTGGATATACCTTCGAAGAGGGAGACTGTCTAGGTTTGTGCTCTTTTCTGTATCAGTCGTTAAAACACTAGACTTCGCGTACTTCACTACCACTTTTCTGGGGAGCTAAGTAGGGAAGTGTTATGGGAAATGAGTCTAAGTTTCCATCCCTTCGGAATGGTAAGATAAAGTAAAACTAAGGGCTTTGACTAGTTTTCAACACGAGTTGTTGATGTGGCGGTTGGAATGAACACAGTGGGCACATTTTGAGTAATAGTAAACACTAGTTCAAGCAGCATAAATACCCTTTGAGAATATCTAGGTTGAAAGGTCTTCTAGCCGATATAAGAGGCAACATGCCTTTACATAAAGTTTATCGTTTTCCAATCGTTATGCCGATGAAAAATTAATAAATTTTATTTATCATACAAACTACTATGTTATACGAGGATTTCCAGCGTTGAGAAAAGCCGTGACAACACAGGTGAAAAAATTTCGTACTTTTTTACGTGTGTTTGATATCGCCAAGCAGCTGATGACACGTCACTCCCCTTCACGCCACTCGCCCAGATATAAGAATGAACGACGAAGCCTTCACTGTTCTCAATCTAAGGTCGTTTGCATAGTCGGAATTTTTTCAGATTATGGCAGCTAAAACACCGAAAAATCGGTATCGCTTACAGAGAGTGACGTTCAAACTTTTCTAAAAGGGGAAAAAACCAAAACATGGAAATAAAAACCGAAAGTTACGTATTCAGTCCCTTTGGAAATAGCATTTCTCGTGGCTAAGGACGAAAATCGAAAATGAAAGATTTGCCACAGGCCGATTTTGGCCGTGTGCCTGAAGGATTTCTCTGTCAGTAAGGACCAAATTACTAACTGAGAATTTTGTGTATTGAAAACTACGCCCATCATTTGGTTTTGTATCGTTTCAACACATTTTTCATCTAAAGCTTTAGCGCCAACGCTCTTTACGATTTTTATTCAGGGACTGGCGATTCTTTTATTTTCATTCATTAATAAAGTTGACTTTTCTTGTCAAGAAAGAGCTATTGTGTTAATATGATAAACAAAATAATACATGGTTGCTTGCGGGGATGAAATTTCTCTTCTCCTGTTGAACTCGATATCTCACTCGTTCGCAGTGCTCACTCGTGAGCTATCGAGTTGAACTCTCAAAGAGAAATTCCATATCTACGCACGCCCATGTATTATTCTCTATATCAGTTAAAGTGTATTTTGCTTCGCTTGTCGCTGTGTTTCTGTATCTTATTTAAATTGTTTCAAAGAGATGTAGACGAGTGTCAGTCTGGTTTGTTTTTTGCCATGCACAAACCCAGTGTTTGAATACTCAAGGATCGTACGAATGTAGATGCTTACCTGGTTATGCAGGAGAGGGCATTTTTGCCTGTGCAGGTAGGAGGAGAACAAAACGAGTCATAACAACGACTTAACAATCTACAACACGCTGCGGCTGAATTCTGTAAGTTTAGCTCAGATATACAGAATAAGGTCAGACGTAACTTACACTGCAGTCGGTTTAAGAGAGGTGTAAATTCCCTCGTGAAAGGTTGATGAAATGGTACTTGGCATTTGATACTTTATCCTTTTAAAATATGACTAAAACTTGATATCTGATTCGCTATAATCTTCGTTTTACAGACGTGAACGAGTGTCAATCAAGAACTCATTCCTGTCATGCACAAGATCAGTGCGTGAACATACAAGGCTCCTACGAATGTAGATGTTTATTCGGATATTCGGGGGATGGTCGTGCCACATGTGCAGATAATTTTGAAATAAATCTTGCCATAAAGCATCACACTACTGTATTCTACAGCCGTTGTCACAGACAAGAAACAATGAGCTGAGAAGGCCTTTCTTCAATAGATGCCCCTCTTTTAATGATAACTTCTAAAACCTGATCAGAGAGCCCGGTCATACTTAGCGGCTACTTTGGGCAAAACCACGTTCAAACTGATGGGGTGGCATTTCTTATATAATCTGTCAAAAACGCTTTCAATGAAAGCATCTGACTCCTTCCCGGTCATCTCCAAATCAGGGGTGCTTGAGTGGGAGGAGACAAAAAAAGGAAAAACATCAACAACAATAAAACCAACACAAATCATTAACAAAACAATAAACAGTCAAACAAGATAACAAAAAAACAGCAAAAAAGGTACTGACAGCTAAAAATAAAGAAATAAACAAACAAAGACATAGTTCATTTGAAAATGAAGGTACTCGTCCTGTTTTTATTTACGGGAAATCCAACCATGCCATATAAAACACGAGGTAAACGTTCTTTTCTTTCCCTTAAAAGAAGACGACAACAACACAAAAGAAAACAGCATTCCGAGTGAAATAGGAAAGAACGCGATGGACAAAGAGAAAAAGGGGAAACGGAATTTTTTAATTCAATGTACTTAGACACTATATTACATCGATTTTGTCTTGAACAGACATAAACGAGTGTCAACTTGGATCATATTCCTGTCATTCAAATGCCAGATGCATTAATACACAAGGCTTTTACGATTGTGAATGTGTGCATGGATATTCAGGAGATGGTCTATACACATGCTCAGGTATATATATAAATACTTTTACAGCCAGTCAAATTTGAGTAGTACTACACTAGAGTAGGTTAACATACGTTACGATGTAGACTCGTTTCCTCAGATTTTGGCTATTTGTCCCCATTCCTGCCAGCCAAACATGTATAGTTAAAACGGGTTTAACTAAAGGAAAATCCGAAACACTGAAAAACTGAATTTCCCATTGGTTTTAAATCGTCTCTAACTTGTATATTTGAAGTCGACACAATTGGTTTTAGGCAGCTTCTATAATTAAGAAAACAACTTCAAAACCGTGTTTAACAAAACATCTTTAAAACATGTTTGAGCTTCAATTTGGTATGAATGGTTTTAAAAGTATATATAGTCATTATTTGGAATCTGGCTGTTATCTCTTGTTTTCTGACTTCGTTTTTAAAGATATGTCTAGAAATGCATGCAGTAACGGAAATGGCTACATGAAATGGCGAGATGGCGAAAATTCGTCAAAATCGTCAAATCTACCGGGCTGATTTCGCTTTGACGAATTTGACTGAAATTCGTAGAAATCGTCAGTTAGGGCGATTAGGTTGGACTCAATCATTAGAAAAATGAAATGAAATTTAAATCTAACCTCGACAGATGCAAACGAGTGTATAACGAGATCACATTCTTGCGCTTCAAACGCCAATCGGCTCGTACGACTGTGAATGTGAGCGTGGATTTCAAGGGAATGGTTGGTATTGTTCAGGTAAGATGTGGAATATAAATTACATGTTTAAGAACCAGGCCGACGATAATGTTTAACTCCTATCACTATTCGCTGAGTTCAATGCTCCCATTTACTGCAAGACCACATTTCAACACGCTCTTCAATTCCTGTATTCACCAGCTACCTGTCCCCAATGACGGCTGTCTTCAAGTGGACTTCATTGATTTTTCTGCGTTTAGCTGCAAAAATTTGTTGCATATAGACCCTAAGCTTCACCTACTGAAATATTAACTCTACCAAATACTATTCCATTATCCTCTTGCCACAAGAAACAAAAACTGCTGCTGTTCTGCCCTTGACAACTAAGCGATGCCTATGAGGAAAAACTCCTGACACCTCGATAGAAATTCAGGTGGAATGTTAGCCAAGCTAACACAATAACTTAGCTGCTTCCGTTCACTGCTGTAAGAAAAGTGCACAAACGCACACTCACAATAAGAAAGACACTAATTTCTCTAGAAAGATTGTTTTTGCGAGTGATTAAGTCGGGCATGTACTGATCCTTTTATAGATGTGAACGAGTGTCAAACGGGATTATATTCATGCCATTCAAACGCTCGGTGTGTTAACACAATTGGCTCATATGTCTGCATATGTTTGCCTGGATATCAGGGGAATGGATGGCGTTATTGCAATAGCGAAGGTAGAACTAGAAAAATTCCTATGTCTATCTTTCTTGCTATCTGTCTATATCTAACCAGACGTCATCTAGACATTTCATAATCTATACAAATATCTCTATGTTTGTAAGTAGATAAAATACACACGCACTTTCATTGGTTCATGAAGTTGATCAAATGTACGGCGGGATGATTTCAGTTACAGATAACAGATCTTGTAGTTCTTAACTTGTTGTTTTAAAATGTATTTGTGAGGATCAAAACTATGAGGAAACATTTGATATTTTCTCCAATTAGCCGTCGGTGTTCGCAAATGAGCCCGCGGTCATCCCTATCCACCGACTAAGCGCATGGACCTTGACATTGTTGATT